AGCTGATAAAATCCAATTCACCGTAAACCACCACAGCGTAGGGCCTTATGGCACATACTTGGACCTGATTCTAGTCAGAATACACAAGCCGATGGTTTTACTAATTAACAAAGTAGTTTGTCTCCGGCGAAAAATGTGAACATTTCTTACCTGGCGTTGAATCTCAGTGAACTTTCACTGCTATCAGTCCCAAAGGTTGAAACCTCCCATTCTCGAATTCATAGCGATCACGTACGTATTGGTAGCGACCGTGTAGTAGCGTCACCAAACTATCACTCAAGGGACGTGTGTTCGAATCTCATCACCGCCGCCGGACTTTACCCATCGTGTTTTATGTGGCAGACCGTCGAATAATTATTTACCCCTTCTTCAAAATTCAATCAAAGGGAGTCAAAATGAAAATGAATGCCTCATCATTGAGTGGTTGTTCAGTTATACTACTATATACCTTTAGGAATCTAGCTAAATTCAAGAAAGCAATACAGNAAAATCGCGGAGGTCAAGTGCTCTGTTTGATGTCTCTGATCCCCAGAATTATGCACAGCGAAACTGCAACGTGAAGTAAAATGGAGGACACAGTTTTAGTTGTCAGATTCCTTTGACGAAGTAGTTAGTTTATGAATAACTGTCTATAGTAATTGTAGTAGTAGTAGTAGTACGCACTGATCTCGGAATACGAATCACGGAATACGAATCAAGGACTAGCAATCACGGACTGGATCTCGTAAACACTGGACCGCACTGGTACTAGCACGTAATATCCCACGTAACTGAGACGCGAGGAAAAGACCACAGGAATGGTAGTTCGATAAATGGAAGAAATAATGAGGATTAAATAATATGTACAAAGTAGGCTTATTGGTTATCCGGGCTTCTACCGATCGCATTCATGTATGGCTTGCATCGTTCTACTTCTGTCTGGACCACACCATCCATGATAGGATGATAGGATCCGATTAAGTATGAAGACGGAAGTAGTGACATGCACGCACGTTAATAAGATCACCCAAGAGGTTCGATTGATCGCTCCAGAGTAGGCGTCATCTCGTACGTCCGAATGACCACATCGTGTTAATAAGAAAGGTTTTCCTTCAAACAGGAACGAGGTCATTTGACTCCAACGGTAGTATATGAATATATACAAATATGACAATAGGTAGTATATAAATGACTCAAAAACTTTATCTGGAAGCACATGATACATATATGTATGATATTCTTGACTCGAGTAACAGTTTCTGTATATTCGTAGCGTTTGCAGATCAAGAATCAAAATTGAAGCCGCACGCATAATGGTCCCACAAAGCTTCCCTACATCCAGAAATTGAAAGAAGTCCACGAAAGTAGCAGTCACCTTCTAGGGATAAAAAAGTAAAGTGATTTAAGTGATACGCTTTAGGGAACATCGTTGGGTGAACAAGTATCAACTAATCGCTGCCGCAGTGGTCCGTTAGTTAGCTTTTCAGTACTGAGTCAATCCGGTTGCAGGTGTTTGAACCCACCAGATTGGTCGGATTCGTCGTACTCTGGTTGGCTGTCTGGAAGCTAGCTGAAACACAGTGTGCATGCGTGTCACCGTTGTATCTCTCTTTGTGCACGACCAAGACACGTTTGATCATCGCGGTACTGTTCATATCTCTTATGTCAAACGCATATAAATGACTGAAGTTGTCAGGTGAGGGTAGACAAAGCTACTTTATGCTACATATCGGGGACTGATCAGCACTGTGAACTGCATCTGTGCTCGGAGTAACACTCGAATAACATCAGGCTCAGTCTGCCATACCAGAAAATTCAATTGCATCAATACGAAGCAAGGTGTGGTAAAGGAAAACAGTCGATGGCTCCGATAGTGAACCGTTAAACTTAGGAATGAGAGGTTGTGATTTGTACCCTAAACTGGACGGCTTCTGGTTAACGATTCGACGCAGTGTTTATCAGTAAGTATGTGGCTGAAGTATCCGTTCAATCCAACACTTGTCTCGCTAATAAATGCG